TGGAAAAGCAGATTACTTCCTACTCATGAGCGATGAGCGCCCCCTCTGGTAGGTAAACGTTTTCAGGGATACAAACTTTTTCAGAACACCGGTAGACGGCAGCCATTACAGACGAACATGTGTTTGTTGTTCCAGGAGCGGCTCGGTCACACACTAATGTCATTAGTTTGTTATCATTACTAACGTGCAGGACTGCTTTTTTACCCCTTTTTTCACATCATGTCTCCTGCCTGGATCTGTTATTATCTCACTCTGAAGCACTGAGGAGTGTCAGAGGTGAGCTCGCTTCAACTGATTTTTACGACGTGTCTCATTTCCAGACTGAACAAAGCAGATATGTCAGTTAAAATACATAAGTAAAAATATTTATCCAAGTATAATACAACCCCCCAACTTTATGGACGTTTTTATGGATTTAATTTAACGTATTATACATGAATAAATGTGGTACTTAACATTACAAGTGTTTGTACATATGACTGGTAAAATGTAAACACCTTACCAAACCAGGGATTTAAATGCAATCATGCTGAACAAAGACTTGGCCCCTCTATGAATATTGTGGCCCCTTGATGGCCCCTTACTCAGAAAAATCCTAGATCCACCACTGGTCCCACCAGTCTTCAGCTGAAAGCAGGTGACAGCTGTTTTAGCAGTTAGCAGTTAGCGGTTAGCATTAGCTTTCAATAATGTTTTATCAGTTTAGCGTTAGCGAAGCTAAGATTCTTCTTTAGTGAATCAGTGATTAGTGAAGCTAAGTTTTTGGTGAACTGTGTCCACCGCTGGTCTTTAAATAGCCTACATGTTTTTTTCTCCTCCTCCTCTGCAGTGACCTCTGTTCTTCATCCACAAAGTCAAACATGCTGAAGTGTCTCTGAGAGCTGCAGGTGTGTGTCCAGGTGGGCAGAGGATGAGTCTCCTGTGGCTGATGATGATGCTAAAAGAAACATCACGACTTGCAAAGAGGAAGTGCACTGAATGCAGGAGGGTGGCAGGACACTAAAAAGGAAACAGGGAATGAAGAGAGCGTGGGAGGAAAGGGAGGGGATGAATAAACAAAGTAAATAAGATTGCAGGATGGAGGGAGGAGGCGGTTGCCGTGGTGACTAAGAAAAGCTCCAGAAGGAAGTG